GAAAGCCAAAAAGACTTGAATTAAAGATCCAGCTGAAGCAAAAAGTTGGATCTTTGAAACAAATCCCTGTTGTTTTCTGAATCTGGGTTTTTATCTGATCTGTAATGGGTTGGAGGTATAAGGCTGGCTTGTTCTTGATAGGTACTGTTGTTGTTATTTGGGTAACCTCTGCAGAAGTAACCCAGGTTCGTTTTCTTTTCTTTCATTTATTTTATAATTAAGTGTCTTTGGATTTGAATTGTTAACTTTAATTATTTTATCCATGGCCATGCATTTGTTAATGTTATTGATCAATTAGTTCATTTTATGGTTTATGTATCGGTTTGGGTTAGGTTGCTGTAATTGACTTTTCGTATACAATTGAAACATTTGAAAGTGTTTTTCCTTCATTAATCCATCATATTTTTTTTCATGTATATCGTTTATTAATTGGGTTTTAATTAGTCTTGGTCATTTTTTTGCATGATTCATTTCTAGATAGAGAATTCTTGTAGGAAAATATGGTGTTTAATTTCATTTTTTTTGCATAAAATCTTACCAGGAAGGGGAAAAATAGCATTTAATTGTATTTCATATTGTGACTTGTACCATGCTTGTAGGTGCCATGATTGCTTAATGTCGTTGAATGGTTAAATTTTGTAAAGATCCTATCCTGTTCAGCTGAATAGGCTATCTGATGAATCAAAGTATTTATAATCTCTGGATGCAATTCTAAGAGCCTTTATGTATGTATTATTGTAATTTCTTGCACCCGAATGGGTTGATTCGATTTAGAAGTAACATGCGTTCTTTTTCGAACTCTGTGGTCTTTTGCATATTTTGATGTTTTGAGAATGCATTACAATATTTTGAAGCTAGTTGAATTTCAAACTAATTGATGTCTCGTGTGCAGGATATTTTTACCGACTATAAGCAGCCATTTGCGGTTACATATCTCGGAGCTTCTCTTATGGTAATTTACCTTCCAGTAGCCTTTATAAAGGACTGGGTGTGTAACATTCTAAGGCGTCGTTCTTCTAAAACTGTTAAAGATATAGAAAGCTTAGACGAGACTTCCACTGAACTTAATTCTCCTCTAAGGCACAAAATATACGAAATGGAACTTCAAGGGACTTTGGTTAGGAAGGACAGTGATGCAGATCTTTCACCTCACATAGAGGGTAAGTCGTTGGTTCCTAAACAAAAAGATGAACTGCAGTTTATGAAACAGGACAAAGAGCTTTCCACGAGGGAGATTGCTACCTTTGGATTTTATATTGCGCCTATCTGGTTTGTAACAGAGGTAAAAGTTTCAGTGCATCATTTTGTTTTTGTTTTTTCCCTTTTCGATTTCTTTTGTTCTGTTAAAAATTTCAAAGCCTCTAGTTTGTGTATTGAATAAGCTATGAATTCTCCCCCAAAAGAGTAGTACTGACAATATTCTGCACTATTTTTGTATATGAAACATACAAGCAAAGGAACCAAAAGAGTTATTGATAATGGTTTTTGGTTGTTGCAGTATTTATCAAATGCTGCTCTTGCACGTACAAGTGTAGCAAGTACAACGGTGCTGTCCTCTACTTCAGGACTTTTTACACTTTTATTGGTGCTTTTCTGGGCCAAGATTCATTAAATGTCGCAAAGGTGGTTGCTGTATTTGTCAGCATGGCTGGTGTTGTTATGACCACTCTTGGAAAAACTTGGGCTGCTGACGATTCAATGGGATCTGCGTAAGTTCATTTATCTTTAATGCCTTAACATGATGTGCTTGTTATTCAGGACTATGTTGTCTTGATTGAACTTCGCGTATATGTTTATGCACTTATGATTTATAGTTGGAACTAGTATCGTCATGTAAGAAACAGTGCTTCCAAAGCCACTTTATTTTGAAGAAGAGAGTTAGTGGATTGGACACTTCCTATACAAGCATTCAGATTACCATCAAAACTTTCTGCAACAATTTTCTAAATTGTGATAAAGAAAAGATTAGTGTTTGGAATTGCTTTCTTTTCGAATTCAAAATTTTCTTGGTTGCTTTCATAAACTGCATGGCTTTTGTTATTATCGTAACGAAAGTGATAATTAAATTTCATCCTGTAGAAGATCTCACAAAAGACTAAATTACTTTGTCCAAGGCCCCCCCCCAATTAGTTTGATCTTTGAAATGTATGTTTTTAAGATTGACAATTAATGTTTACTTTTAGCAATGGGAAACGTTCTTTTGTCGGCGATCTTTTCGGCCTCCTCTCCGCCATATATGGGTTATTTACAGGTCTGGCTGAATCTCTTATTTTAGTTCATTTACTTTTTATCCATTCTTAAGGAAAATTGTCATCTTCTCTTCCTTTTTTTAAAATATGTTGCAGTGCTGCTTAAAAAGTTTGCAGGTGAAGAAGGAGAAAAGGTAGATGTTCAAAAGTTGTTTGGATACATTGGACTCTTCACACTTGTGGCACTATGGTGGCTGGGTAAGAATTTTTTTTTGAGAATTTGCGTTCGTATAGAATAAGTCATCAAAATTGGTTTCCAAATTCTTGTAACGAATTGTTGACTTCCTACTTGAGAGTGTATCCCAACATTTAATTAGCGAACTAATCTCTCCTTTAAATACTGTTTCAGTCTGGCCTTTGACGGCCTTGGGGATAGAACCCAAATTTACGATTCCACACTCTGCTAAATTGGACGAAGTAGTCCTTGCAAATGGCTTTGTTGGAAGTGTCCTCTCCGATTATTTTTGGTACGCACCCTTTTTTTCCGAGCACTTTCACAAACCAAACCGTTGCGGTTTTCTTCTTTCATGCATTCTTAATCTTTGTTTGAACTTCGTCTTTTCTCTAGGGCATTGTGTGTTGTGTGGACGACTCCTCTAGTAGCCACATTAGGCATGTCACTTACCATCCCTCTCGCGATGGTGGCTGACATGCTCATCCACGGCCGTCATTACTCAGCAATTTACATTCTCGGCTCGGCTCAGGTAAAGCACATGGTCGAATGCATGCAAGTGTGTTGGATTATTGTGTAGAACCATCTGTTTTCATCTTTGACTTTGTGTTATGATGGTGAATTTGCAGGTGTTTGCTGGATTTGTAATAGCAAATGCTTCAGGTTGGTTGACAAGAAAGTTGGGATTGTAGCAGCTGTGGAAATCATCAATCGTATAGCTCAATCAGAACACAATTCATTCTTTATCAGGAGCCCTTGTCTCCATTCATTTGTTGTTGAAAACTTTGGTTTGTTGCCGAAAATGCTGAACTTAATGTTATCGTCTGCTCCATCTTGTAAATGATATCTCTTCTTTTTCCACTTTTGACAAACATAAAAGAGACTCTTTTTTATTTTGTTTTGGCACTTGGCCCTAATTGTAAGATATTTTTCTTTAATCAAAAGATGCAGTCTCGCTATCAACTACCAGCTGAGTTAAAAGACCTTGGATTATGGATGATAATGGATTGGGTCGGATTGAGATTTTGATCCACTTAAACTTGAATCGAGTATAACATTCTTTGTCAGTATTTAGGAAGGTTACACCTATTCGAAACTCAATCCGATTTTTTGAGGTAAAATAAGGACTTAATTGAAAGAAATATAAAAGATAATTATAGTAATAATAATCTCTAAACATATGAAGGTAACTATACCATTATTCTTGGGTAGGATATTTTTCACATCAACTTGAACTCAATCCAATATCATATTTTAAAAAATCCGACCTAAACCAAGGTTTTCAAAACAAAACGTATCTTACAAAATCGGATTCGGGTTAAATGTTCATCCCTATTTGAATATCAATGTTGTAAATAGAATAAATTATATTAAAAAATCGTCTCTATAATAACATTTGTATTACTCTAGATCTCTTGAATAAATAGAAGAGTTTGAAAGTTGTGAATATAACAAATTGACATTTGTATTACTCTAAATCTCTCAACTAAATAGAAGAGTTTGAAAGTTAAGAATATAATAAATTGAGCGAAAAGGATTCAAATCTTAATTTATATTATAAATGGAAGAAACTAAATTAGAAAAGTTATATTTAGAATGACCGTTGTGATACTGGATTCGGGTTAAAAATCTAAGCTTAACCATTAAATAAGCCTCAAATTTAAACCATAGTTAGTTCAGTCTCTCTCTTTCCAAGAAGGATCATGTAAGGAGGATAGAGACCACAGAAATGAGAATGCTTCGGTGGACATGCGGTAGGACTCTGTGGGATATGACAACAAACTCTGCTATTAGGATGTCCTTGGGGGTGGTGCCTGTTTCCGAGAAATTGAGGGAAGGAAAACTACGGTGGTTTGGGCATGTCCTCAGGCGACTACCATCTGATGTGGTCAGGAGGGTAGAGTCGATTACAGTCGACGGTGCCAGAAGGAGAGGACGACCAAGGCGGAAGTGGGAAGACTGCTTGAGATCTGATTTGATGGATTTAGCCCTTACCGAGGACATGACCTCTGATAGGAAAGTATGGAGACTTAAGACTAGGATAGTCGAGTAGTGTGGGTCACATCTCTAGGGTGTATCATCTCTGTCTTCTTTTATTGCCTTTGTAGTAATTTACATAACTTCAACTTTTTATCCGTTTCTGTTATTGGTATTTATGAAGGCTTAGAACTGGGCTTGCTATCGTTTGACTTCTGTGTATCATTCTCTTCACTTTTAAATTTAGTCGGGTCTTACGTTTCTGTCTATATACAAAGATTACTGCCCATTACAGACGCGCATATGATATTAACGATATTAATGACTGCATATGAATACTGTACAACTATGTATTTATGTATTTATTTATACATGCATTGCATTTTATATATATATTTTTAATTTTCTGAATGCCGGAGGTCTTCCACGGAAGTTACTCTCAACCTGACGTTGGGGGCAGCCTACTACCTACCTCCCCTTACCCCATTGCATATGGGAATTGGGTTTTGTTGTTGTTGTTGTTGTAGTTCAGTCTCTCCTTGTAAAATGGCAAAAGCCCAAATATAGTCCATGTGAAAGGCCCAGGTTCAATAGGCAATACAAAGTGAGAAGCACCGATCCCAAATTCAACATATTTCTAGAAGCTGGAAAATCCAGGAACTGTGTACTTTTTCTAGTTTTCATCAACTGTCGAAGCTCTCAAATCTCTGCTGCCATGGCGCCGATCGCACGGTTACTATTGCTCGTGCTTCTGTCAACTGCACTAACGATTTCATCAGGGTACGAAATTATCTTCAACGCCTTTTATTTGGTACTCCTGATTCTCTTGTTACCGCTGAAAAATCAAATTTAACTCTGATTGGATTCTTTTGAACCCTAGATTAACTAGAAATTCAATTTAGGGACTTTATCACCGTAGTCACCTTGTTTCTGCTAAAATTAAAATCAAGTAAATTTGTTTAGTTTCTTAATTGATTGCTCTATCGTTGTTGGATCTTTTATTAGGTTTTCAACTTATTTACTCGTTTATGTACCTGTTTTTGCAGGTCTGGTGATGGATACACCATCAATGGTCGAGTGAAGATCCCCCAAGGTATTTTGGCCTTTTTCTTTGTTCTTTTTTTTATCAGTTTTGCACTTTTTCAAAATTATACTATTATCTAGTGATTTTTTTTTGTTGTTTCGGATCTTTGCTTCATTCTAATTTAGTAATTTTCTTGTGATAGTGTTAATCTCACTTTAGAATGAAAGTAGATACATAAAGTTACTGATCTTTCATGCTGATTTTCCAGTGTGTAAAATATATGGTGATTTATTATGCAAAGCAGTCTTTGAATATATTAATTAGATATTTTTGAATTTGTTTTTCAAATTTTGATTAGGACGATTTGAGTCGCTTTTATGTTATGTAATAGGATGTGTGTGATATATCTAACCATTAATCCATCCCATTCTAGGTTTTGACAAAAGATGAAATTCACCCCATTGAACCTATAAACATCGGTGCAGATTCTGCATTTGAGAAATTGACATTAATTATTCTTCACTGAGGCATGCTTTTAATAACACGGCTACAATGTATGCATCTCACTATATATTTGTTCATGTTCTGTTATGATATGTTAATCTTTTATTTAATTTAGTGCAGATGACTGATGACTTTATTTGGCAGGTCTGGGTACAGCAGGGTTTGCTTTTCCCGGAAAAATGTCAAATATCAAAGTTATACTCAATGGTGGTCAAATTGTTACTTATCTGAGGCCTGATGGATATTTTTCATTGTATCCTAATCTTTATCAATTTCTTTTTAATTTGGGGGTGGCGTTGCTAGGGTTTGAACCCAAGTTTTCATTCCTCACAAACCTCTGGCCACTTAGACCAAGAAGTTGTTTGCAATTCTTGTGCATATCACCGATTGAAAATCCATATATTTTTACTTTTTTCATTGCTCTTTTAATACTGTTTTCTGTTAGTAAATAATCTGGCACCGTATAAAATGGGTGGTAGTAAACCTTTCCCCTGAACTATTATAATTCCTTAATATAAAATGCCTAAAGCCAGAAAATACCAGCAGGAACTCATTTGATTGAAGTAGCTGCAATCGGCTATTTCTTCTCCCCTGTAAGATTTTTATTTCTGGCTTGGCTCTCGAGAATTTTAATCATCAAATCATTTTGGTTTTCTTCATTAACTTTAATGCCTTTTGAACTTGCTTAGGTTAGAGTTGATGTTAGTGCTAGAAACCCAGGCAAGGTGCAGGCAGCATTAACAGAGAACAGGAGGGGTCTCAGCGAATTGGTTTTAGAGCCATTGAGAGACGAACAGTATTACGAGGTTAACGAACCTTTTACTATTTATGTTTATGTCTCCTTTGTTTGCAGTTATTGCCTATCCTTTGCTTCATGTTTATCCTACTTTGTTGCAGATCAGGGAACCGTTCTCCATAATGAATGTTGTGAAAAGCCCAATGGGTCTCATGGTGGGATTTATGCTAGTGGTTGTGTTTTTAATGCCCAAATTAGTGGAAAACATGGGTAAAGTACTCTGCTACTACTTCATAACTTGGTAGCTTCATTGAAGTTCTGACTGGCAATATATTTATGAGTCGATTTTGATGGAGAATATGCTACTTAATTTCTTGCTTGCATATTTTTCTTGATCGGGATAAAATCTCCTATGTTGCCTATTCTCCGCTTGTATGAAGAATAGTTGAGCAGCAATTAATTTTCCCAAACATTACATTTTTTCATTCTATAATTTTCTCATTACAGTTTTGGCAATCTTTTATTCTTGGCTTTTATGAATACAACATTCTTGTGCATCTGCTTCTAAATGCTGCTGCCCCTCTCAACGTATAGGCTGGAAATTCCATTTTTGCTAATTTTATCAATCTATTATCCATTGCAACAGATCCGGAAGAAATGAAGCGAGCACAAGAAGAAATGAGAAACCAAGGGGTTCCCTCTTTGGCTAGTTTGTTACCAGGAGGTGGTAGGAATTAAGTTCTTGATCAAGAACCGTGAACTCGAAGTTAATGTTCGGAAAAATCAAAGGCGGTTCAAATGTCAACCTGGATTGGTCTTGTACCCTAACATACATCATTTGGTTGCGGAAAGAATGGATGATACCCTTTGAATTATTAGCGGCATCTCAAAGGTTACGTAGTTTTTTTTTTGGCCATAGCTGCAGAACTTAATTCATTGTTGATGCTTTGATATCAGAAACAAATAAAATTTAGGGAAATTATTGTTATGGACATCATAGGTTTTTTTTGGCTCGAAGAATTCCCGGTTTGTTTATGTGGGTGATTTAGCTTCTCGTTTATCAACTCTCCTTCGGCTCCATCTTTGATGGTATGGTCTCCTTGTGCATTTTTTTGTTATTAAAGCCTCTATCAACATTAGTGTCGAGAAGCAACATTTCCCACAAAAACATTCCTTGATGCACAGCTCCTTGACAAGCATTTTATTGGGAAATTCTCAAACATAATGACAAATATGTAACGATGTCATGAAATCTCAAAATAAATGGCTGTCAATGTGCATAACTGCTCTCAACACCAGTCCACTTGCCTTTACAAAAAATGTCTTCGGCCGATACTTGCCTTTACAGATTGAAGATTGGACCAATTGGTCCAATTGTAAAACAATAAACATCAAATTGCATATGCATATCCAAGGAATGAAATCAAAGCCATAATTTGCTGGAAAATTGTATGTATAAACACAGAATACCCCTACGAACATCACAAACTTGAAATCAAAACCATCCACTTTGATCGTGAACACATTGTTCTAGATATTAATTTTTTAAATTTAGACTTATTAAATGATTAAAGACAGAGTTTATATATCGACTTATGTTTGTGTAAACATGTCTTCAATACATACCATATGTATTTTTTTTAACAAATTTTGCTTAGTTTTAAATAGTTTAGTTTTTTTTCTTTCTTTTTTTTTCCCCTGATTTTTTTTTTGGCTCTTGTATTTTAAAAAACGAAACTGAGGAAAATCATCTAGAAAGAATGATACTTTCCCTTAAATCGTTTTGGGTTTCATGAGAAGTCATTAAGAATGAACGATGATTTTATTATAGTCGTTAAATTTACGGCGTTTTCCCTCAAAAATCACTGGTGATCGGTATATTTATCGATTTAACACCGGTCATATTATATTTTTCGACACTTTGCTGATACGGTAACATTTTAACGTTTTAATTTAAATTATTAGTAATAATTAGTTGATTTATTTAATGCATGATTATTAGATTAAGAATTAATTTTTATAATTATTTATTTTTAGGAGAAGAACCGTGTATTAGATCCTTTTATTAGGAATCTTAAGTTAGTGATACCTAGCCGTGTCTTGCCATATTTAGTAGAGGCTGGATTTGGTTACATAGGTAGATATCAGGGTCACTGTAAGATAGAACCATACCTTATTTCTGCCTTAGTATAGCGGTGGAGGCCGGAGACCCATACATTCCATCTTCCGTGCGGAGAGTGCACGATCACGCTTGAGGATGTTACTATGCACATAGGGCTTCCGGTGGATGGAGATGTGATATCAGGGATAACTTCCGGTTCTTGGACTACTTTGTGTCGGGATAATCTAGGATGTGTCCCGGAAAGTTTTATCGGAGGTAGGATACCGTTAAATTGGTTAAATGCCAATTTTCGGGAGTTGAGCGCAGACGCCTCTGAGGATGAGGTTAAGATGTATGCACGGGCATGCATATTGCAGTTGATAGGAGGGTTGCTGATGCCGAACAAATCGCGCAACCTAGTCCACTGCATGTGGTTGCGACATCTTAGCGACTTTCATCTCGTCGGATCATTCAGTTGGGGCTCAATAGTTTTGGCTTTGTTATACAGAGAGATGTGTAGAGCCACTGACTACAGCCGTAATGTTATCGGCGGATGTCTCCTACTGCTGCAGTCTTGGGCATGGTATCGATTGCCCTTTTTATGTCCCGTTGTGAAGAACCCATTCGTATTTCCACTACTTCTGAGGTAATTATAAAACTGATTTTGTATATTAATAATTTTATACAGCGTATAATAAATTTTTTTCCTTGAATAGGTGGTCTACTAATAGGAAAAATCATCAGGAGCTACCTGATGATTTAGAACAAATTAGGGTGTTAATCGATCAGAAGGCTGGCACACAAGTATGAATTTTAATGTTTAAAAATCGATTTTAGATTATAGTTATATAATTAGATTATTATTTTTATAAAAATTATATATTATTTGTTTTAGTTTGAATGGGTGCCATATTCTATTGATGATGTGAGGGCGGTGATCCCACCTGAGTTGAGGGGTCCATCAGATGTTTGGATGGCGATGGTCCCTCTGATCTGTTATGCGACCGTCGAGTGGCACTCAACTGATCGCGTGCTCCGGCAGTTTGGTTGTTTTCAACCAATTCCCGAAGCACCTCGCCGAGGATGCACGAGGGCAGACCTTTCCACGACATCGACAGAGACGTTCACCGACACAGCACCATCGTCCCCCGACTCGTGGACGGAGAGCAGGTGCTTCCGGTTCATCCTCAGCTGCACCAGCAGGACCTTCACAACAGCCACCACAGCCATTTATGATGCTGCAACCATATATGATACCGCCATCGCCTTTCCATTACCAGATGTCGTCGCCGCCGCCTTCACCTGGTTTTATGACCTCGCCGCCGCCGCCGTCATAGATGACCCCTCCTGGAGGCTATTATGGGTCTATGTTTGCAGATCCGACTTGGGGTTCATATGCTGAATATTTGGCGGGTTCAGCCTCATCACCCATGGCCGCATCACAGACACATTCTGTACAGTTTTCACACTCAGTGATGTCTGGGTTTTCCCAGTTTTCGCATGCCGGTGGGATAGTCAGTCATACACCTCCAAGGTCCTTATTATATGGAGGCGTTTCATCGTCATCAGTTCCTCATCAACCTAATGTACCTGCTCAGGACGACGACGATGACAGCGAGGAGTCAGAACCAGTGATACGAAGAAATCCTCCTCGAGACCGACAACCATCGCCCTACGGAACACATTCACGACGCATGCATCGATAGATTTTTTTATTATATTTGTATTTACTTTATTTTGTTTAATTGTAAATTTTTTTTATTTTTCATTTAATACTTACTTTATTTTGTTAAATTTGTTGGACTTATTTTTAATATATTTCAGTTAATTTTGTTTATTACAATTTAATATTAGTTATTGTAATTTGGTTATCATTTATCATTTAATTCTTATTGTAAGTTTGTTGTATTTAAATACCAAATTGTTATTAGTTTGATAAAATTTAATGAATGTGTTCGTTTTTTTAATATTCATCAGCGATTATCGAATGACATTAACTTGAAGTAAATGCAAATTAAAATACAAGAATTATTATTTGATAAACAAATACATCATTTCCTCATCAATTGTTACTTGATGACAACAGAAGTGGACATGTTTTTCTAGTGTGTCATGGGTTTCTACAATGCTGGTTTCATCTTTTCGAATTTCACCATCATAATAAACAATAGCTGAAAGTCGCGTCATTCTTTGAGTTTAAAAGTGCGGCAATATTATATATGCAAAAAAATAACTAAAACAAACCTGATTAAACTAATTATATACGAACGAAAATATAACAGAATAAATTTTTTACACATCAACGTAAATAATTTAAATAATATAATTTTATATTATTACATGCACCGCAAAACTATTTCGACGTATGCTCCCGTTTTTCAATTTTACAAACATAAAAATTAATTAAAAATAATTAATATAATATTTTTTTAAATAATGATAATAAACAATAAATATAATTAAAAAATTATAACAAAATTACCTTATAACGAAAAATTGCACAAACTTCTAAATCAAATATGAGAAGATTACCAGAATTATTACTCGTTGACAGAATTGTTGTATTAATTTATAAGTTGAGAGGAGAGATGCGAGGAGATGTAAGAAATTTAACCGGCGGAGGAGTGTATTTATAACCATATAAGGTGCGGTACCTGCACCGCACTATATGTAATTATTCAGATAAATGATATAGCGCGGACCAGAGACGCGTTAAATATAATTACCCCTACGTGGCATATAGCACGACCCCTGATCCGCGCTATACCCTTACGTGGCGTATAGTGCGGATCAGGGGCCGCGCTATACACACGTGTAACCCATGTCAGCGTATAGCGCGGTACAGGGGGCGCGCTATATCCACATGACGCCAAATCAACATATAGCGCGATTCAGTGGGCATTTTACTGCTACAGATGTTAGATCAAAAAATATAATCTAACCGATATTAAATCGATAAATATATCGATCACCGATAATTTTTCGAGAAATACACCTAAATTTACCCGATAATTTCGACTGAATCTATAGAATGTACTTTAAATCTCTAAATAAAATTGTAAAATTATTTTCATTTATTTTATATTTTAATATATTTTTTAAATAATATAACTTCACCTCACAAATAATGATCTCTTAAATAATTTTAAAATTAATATTTTTTTTAAATAAAGTATGACAGAAATAAATTAATTTTGGGAGTATTATTTGACATTGGGTTCTGAACCATAGTGTCATTATCAATGGACTCAAAACAGAATAAACAAAAGAAGAGCAAAAGTGGGAATGCATTCCCCTCCCCAAACATTGGATAAAGGGCTTACTCGCTGTTCTTTACTAATTCTGAAATGGAATTATTTTAACCCCACTCCATATCCAAACACCACCTCCAACTGGAACCCACACCACACCTTCCCCTTTCCCTTCCCATTGGCTCAGACATTGGGTCCCACTCCAATTTCGCGCGCATGCCTCATATTGCCATAATCCCACCCTCTTTCTTTCTCTTCCCCTATCGACGATCCATTCGCCGAGTAGAATAATCCAACGGTCCAGATTCATCTTACGCGTTACACGCGTCACTATATCAGTGTCCACTGTCCAGTCAACCTTGTCTCGAACGAATACATTTCACAGATACCCTTCCTCTCTCTCTCACTCACTGTTTCTCTATCTGTAAAGTAAAGCGTCTTTTTCTTTATCTCAAATTCTGAGCTCTCCATTAATAATACTCTCTCTTCGCCTCCGCCTTTATTATGCATGTGATTTTCGGTTGCTTTTTACTGTTCAGTTTGCTGTAAAGCTGAGTTGTGAAGGGACGTTGCAGTGTTCGGCCGCTGCGAGTTGTTCTACCGTGTTCTTTCTTTCTTTATTTTTTTGTTTTCTAGGGTTCCTTGATGCAGAAGGGTTAGGATTATTAGAGAATTGAGTGATGGATAACCTTGGCGGATCAAATTCGATTCCACATGCAGTCATCGATGCTTTCTATGGCTTCATCGGCATCGCAGGAGCCTCGAGATCAGGTAATCTACGCCTTTGTTTATGTTGTTTTTAAAAGTTAAGGTGAGAGTCGTTGATGGAAGTGCGCTTAGTTTATCATTTTTGCTAGTTTAAACTAGGTAGTGTTGATGTCAGTTTTCTTTCTGCTTGGGGGTTTTAGACTTTTAGTGCTTCTATTAGGATAACTTAGTCTGGAATATGATATTCCTGAAGGGCCAGTAGTTATTTTTTTTATGTTTTATGCTCTTTCATTGAGACGTGCGGTGGTTGTACAACAATTTCTGAGGTCTGTTTATGTGTGGAAATCGGTGGAGAGGGAAAAATCATTAGTATTCGGAAGGGGCAGTATATTGAATGAACGGTGCAGCTCGGACTATGGGAAAGTTTTTCTCTAGTACACGGTCTTTACTGCGGAAAAGTGTAAAGAATCTTGTTTAGCACCTTGCCACACCCAAATGATATTGGAGCAAATGATCAATATTTTATATTTTAGTAGGAATCTAAAGGAGGATGCTGACCATAATCATTCGTGTGGTTTGAAATTTCAGTGACGAGAGAAGTAGGTATTATGCCCTTAGAATCCAAGTTTGTTGGGGCGGGGATATGTTGCATGGACGATTGCACAATGTAGAGTAGGAAAATTGCTCGATGAATGCTGCTATCATCCTTGTTTATACTTGAAGAGGAATGATATTTGAAGAGGAATGATATATGCATTGCATTCAAATTTCCTTTCTGGGTATTGTTTATTCAAAATTTATGGTGTGCAAAATTGTTAAATGTTATACCTGATTTTATTTTCTGCTTCAATAATTATTTATGAAGTCAACTTATTCATTTGTTGTTTCATTTGCTTTTGAGCTTGATATACTTTCATCACCACCTACCTTTTCTTTTAATTATCATTACTTCTAAATACAGATGGAGATGAATTATGGCCAGTATTTTCGCCAACATGCTACAGAAGATTTAAATTCAACATTGCATGAAAGAATGCATGATCCCATGTGTCCGAACAACACAAACTTATTTTCCCACAAGTCAAATCAAGCTGAGCTGGCAAATTCATTTCTAGCTCTTCTATCTGGGCCACCGTCACTTTTACAGTGTGATTTTCAGGAACTGTCAAGCCAAAAAGTATTCAATGCCTCTAGAAATGCCAATGTCAATGATCTTGCAAGTGAAATTCCACGAACCTATGGGATGTTACTGCCAGAAAATCGGAGCAATCAAACCTCAGAAAATGAGGCAAATTGTTCTTCTGTTCCATCTAGATGGGATTGAGTTCGAGCAGTAGTGCTTTTTCAGTTTTGCATGGTAACTTTCATGTGTCTAACTTAAATCTTCAGACTTCAGATCTGACCAAGGTAGTCAATCATCAGATGCCTCCTGGTACTGAAAAAGTAATGGACTTTGCTAGCCTGAAAGGGGATTGGTATGGTACCGGCACTGCAAAAGTTGGGAATCCCCATAACAAAAATGTACAGATATCAACAAAGATATGTGAGGAATCAAACTCTTCTATATCTGATCAGCCATCAACTATTTTAAGTGGGTGTCCTCGCGTATTCTGTTTGGGTACAGGTGAGTCCATGATATGTAATTCATGCTTTTAGTTAATAGTTATGCATATTGGATGTGGCTAACATGTTTTCTTTATTACTTTGATGGAAAAGGTGGGTATCTGCTTCTCAGCAATACAGGACTTCTTGGTATTGTTTGCTCCTGTCATTTTTTTCACACATCTGTTGCCAAATTTTGCGAGGTAACTTGCTTATGTTTGTTATGCTTACTGTGTTTTGTATCCCTAAGACATGTTTGCATTATCCATTTGGAGTTGGGTCATGCTTACAATTTGCTGCCACTGCTGTAATATTGCAGCATTCAGGATTATGTGATATGAACCCTGGAGATGCTGTTCGTATGGAAAGCGGAGAGACCATTGCACGATGGCGGAAACTCAGCTTTGAGAAGTTTGGGGTAGGAGTTACACTTACATTGCCCTTGTACCCAATGTTTGCTTCAAATGAACTCTTGAGCTTTTGCTTCATTATCACAAATATGCATGTTTATGCATATGTTTCCGTATGTCAATTGTGTGTGATTTAGAATTTGAGATAGTCCACTTCCTTCGAGAATTATTTTATATTTAAGAAATATGACTACCGTAGAAAATCAATATTCTTCTATAAGATGATTAATCAAGCTTCTTGAAAGTTTGGCTCTTTGTCCATAAGAGGGTCATTCTTCATAGTTGATGTTAACTCTTTTACATGTATTAGTTTTCATACTTCTCTGCAAATCTTGTGTTATTTAATTGTGAAAGTCAAATGCTTCTGGAAAAGGTTTTTTGGGGGGTGGTGGGGTTCGGTGGTTGGGGTGGGGCACATAAAAGAAAAATCATACCAGGTTTCTTATTGCAATGGTATTATAGACCTTACTACCACTATTCTAACAATATATTATCAATTTCCCTATTCCTAACCTTTGGGATTGAAAACTGTATTTCTTATTGGCATGTGTTTGAAGCAACGAGAACACTGGATGGTGATGTTTTTCTGATGCTTTAGATCAGGGTTCCGGAAGATCAGAGTGGATGGGACTGGCCTGAAGGACTATTGCCAACTACTGGTTTGGTGAAACCTAGTGCAGCCATGCCGAATCTATCCAATACTTCTCATGTGGCTAATCTGGTTGGTTTTCTCAAGGATTGTCAAGGTGCATGGACAATTCCATGTTTCTGAGTAATGTTCACACGGAACAAAATTCTGCTATTGGTCTCTTGCATAGCAAACAAGAGCGAAGAATGAGGGTAATAATAACTTTCTTCGCAAGCACTTTTTTGGTGCTTCCCGAAGCAATTTGCACGATGTTGCTGATGGCCAGATAATGGAATGTGCTTTCTCTAAGAGCTCAGCAATGTCAACTTTGGTGGTAGGGATTCAGATAATGGTTGTCAGTCCATGTCTGCCTGGATTGATTCTATATTGAAGACTGGAAACTCATCTCTTACCCACTCTAGTTTGCAAAATTTAAGAACCTTGGGTCGGAATTATGATGCAAGTGCATCTAAAATTACAGATGATGTAATTTCTGACAGAGATGCTGCTTCCTCAAACGTGGAGTTAAAGCTTGGACAACCATATCAGCCAAGTCAGCCTATAGGAAACTCTGTTCTACCAGTTATTGCACCCAAACATTTTGACACGTTTATTAATCCTCCTAAGTCATGCTATTCTGAGAAGATGGTTGGTAGTGGTGGGTAGATCTCTCTGCTCATTTTTCATAGGATACATGTTATAGGTTATTATTTGTATCATTTTAGGTTTTTGTATCATGGCTAAGTAATCATATTATGATTGATGCTGAAATAATGCAGCTATGTTTTGCGGGGAGGAAGAATCTAGGAAATATCTTCATCAGGATGCAGACTCTTCTAACCATACTACAAGAAGACAACGAAGCCTATTGGACTTTGGTAACCATGCGTTTGCTGCCAGCAGTCTTGTGGATGCTACCAAACCTGAAAGCAGAGGTGATGTCACCAAAAGTTTTGTAGTTCCATTACTTCCAGTGCTCCCGCTGGAAGGGAGTGCATGCTCTAAAGGTACTAATAATATGGTCAGTGAATGTAGTACGCCAATGATATTTCATTGTGGATCTAATACTACCAACTTTGACCCACTAAATGCTCCCATGAAAAATGGAAATTGTTCAGGGAGGCAGTTGAATATGCCTGAGTTAGGTTTCTGCAGATTAACAGAAAAAGGAAAAGGTGCAGGATTGGGATGTGTTCCTGTTGGCTTTTCTGATGCAATAGATCCAGCATTTAGAGTCCATAAGGAGGTGGAAAGTTCTAGGAATGTCACTGGTGTGGTGCCTGGATTTTCAGCAGTGCTCGACATGAGTTCCTGTCAATCGTCTAATAATCCTTATGGCAGATTTGATGAGAGAAGCTGTCTCAACCTTCCTGGGAACTCGTCCTTTGATGGAAATAATGCACATACTGATAAAACTTTTCTCACAATGAGTTCATATTTGGGCTCTCAACATATTTCACAATCTTCTGCCGTTTCAACTTCTACCCCCTCAAAACGAGAAGGCCCTTGTTTGCTTGATGATGGTCTGAGACAGCTTGCATTGAGGCAGATTTCAGAGTTGTCAAAGCAACATGCAATTTCTTCAGTTGGAATGAGCGAGCTAGGGAGATTGGATAGAATTTCTAATCCAAATGTACTGCATTCTCTTCTTGGATTACCAAATTCTAGAGAAGGAAAGCATGGATCTATTATTCCCTGCAGGCAAGATGCTTTTGAAGTTGCTTCACTCTCATTTCCATCTGCTGTTGAGAAATCAATCTCCATGACAGGCAAGTGATAATGTGAAGATTTTGCTTGTGACTTGCACATGTTTCCTGGTTTTCTCTAATTTATATTTTTAATATGTTTGTTCTTCATCATCCAGGGTTAAACAACCGCTGTGATTTCTCAAGATTGACACAAGGTCTTCATCATTCTCCATGTCAATTCTCTAATGACCATTTTTGTGATCAGTCTACATTGAGGTTAGTCTTTAAAATGCTAGATGATTATGTGAAATTTGCAGTAACTTGAAGCTTTCAAGTTTAATTAATGACCAATGAGGTTTCATATCTGTCATTTTTGTTCCTCTTTCTTTCCCTTGTTAAATAATGGTCTGCTCACTGGCTGCATGCAAACAATATTTGAACTTTATATTATATTTAGTACACGCTAGTTGGTTAGGTGTGTATTACAACATAGGTCTGAGTGGTGAAGTTTGCTCTGGATGGTATCCTCCCTTGTTTTAATTTTATCATTCAATGTTTAGGTTCATCAGAGGTGAGAACATCACACATTCGAGTGGGCATGCAAAATGCTGTCAGAGAGTACCTTGTATTTATACTTGGGGGGATTGCATCTGCTCAGCCCATGCAAAGTGTAGGTTTGAAGGATCTCATGTTGCCTCTAAGGAACAAGCAGGTTATGTTGTGAAGCAGCTATTCCAGCTGCTTCTGAATTTATTAAAGATCATATTATTCCGAATGAAAGAACTATATTACTAGATCCAGGAGGAAAAGTGAATGGGCAACTTCCTAAGAGAGTTGTCTGTCATGCCTCTCAGTGGAGAGATGTTCCAAGAAAGCCAAAGGAGTTTTGTAAAGTGACGCACATTAATTCATCAGCTGATGCTATTGGATGTGCAAAAGATCAGCTTGGAGCTGCTTCAGGCATGCATGGTATTGTTTCTGCTGTAATCAGACCTGACTCAGCTAAAGGTCAGGGCATGTCAAATGTTTCTTCCGAATGTTCTGGTCCTGCTGTCACCCAGGCATCGACTGAGGTTAACAATATGGAATCTTCTACCATTGAAGCTGGGGATAATGGATATAGACATGGTCTTGTAGTTGATCAGGATCTGGTATTGATAAATGTTGTTCATCAAACGATGCCCTTGAAAGTGAAAGAAGTGCTGAGTTTCTTAGTGCTCCTTTCAGGAAAAAGGTAAGGAATAACAAGTCCTCCAAAATTCCAAAGTCGTCTCGTAGTCTGCTTGATGAGCTTAAACTCATAAATTCATTGACATGGAGAAAAGGTCTAAATCAAAGTTATATGAGCCATACTAGTGGTGAGAGGATCAATCATTTGAAAAAAAGTAGGAGAAGCTTGAAAGGTAGCAAGAGAAAAAGAGCAGTTAAATTTAGGATGCTGGATAAATACTTTCCTCCTAAAGTTTCTTTTCAACATTGTCTCAAAGATAATGGCAGTTGTGACATGCCCTCTTGTTCCAAAGATCAACGTGCCCTCATTCCTTCAAGTTTAGATTCACATGGTTCTGTCCATTTGATTCAACCAGGAGAGTTGGATTCGGCTAAAATTGTTTCTCGGAAACGAGATCTGTGTGATGTTTATAATGATCAAGATGGTGAAGATTATCAGGTTGAACCGAAAGGTGATTACAGGGTTGGCAATATCCTTGAAGCTTCAGATAGAAAAAAGTTGAAAAGAGTTTTGGCCTATGATTCTTTTGATAATTTAGGGTCACCAAAGCCTTTTAAAACTGTTGAAAAAACTTCTAAGAGCTATTCTGTACATTGCATAAAAGTGTTTTCAAGTCTTGAGGTGACTGCTTGTGATGAAAAAGCTAGGCCCATCGTATGTGGGGAATATGGTGAAATATGCAGTTGCAAGTCAGCCACAGATGAACTAAAGCCTGCAAAAATTGTTCCTCTTAGCAGGGTTATTAAAAAAATGGAACAATCTAACCTTCGAAACAGCTGTAACCCCAAAAGTACTCTGAGGAAGTCAAAGAAAAGATCAGCTGGCAGCACAGCGTACTTGGACTTGTCTTCTGATTTGAAAAAAGAGGACGAAAATAGAGCCCCTCATGCTTCATTCTTTCATGAAGTAGGAAGTTGTCTTGTTGAAGGAGGCAATAAGACATATCTGGGAGGAATTAATCAATCCCATAACAAGCTTTTCATCATGGAGAAAGGGAATGCTGAAAGAAGTGAGAAAAGATGTATTTCAGATTCTATCACTTATAATCTGTCAAATGCAAGATGCAAAGAAATTCGCAAACGTAGCCTTTATGAGCTAACCAGAAAAGGTAAATTTTAATAATTTATTTCATGGTAGTTGTATCCCAATGATATATTTTTCCTCGTATTAATAAAGGATGGAGCGAAATGTGTCCCAAGGATATGGATTAATGCATGGCATTTTAGGGCAAGCAAAAACTCTCAACTAGAAATAATACATTTATGTTGCACTGTATGCCCAGAACACTGATTCCAGCATACATTTATATCTGTTACACCTATTGTGTTGATTTTGCAATTTTCAACTCTTAATTTGTGTATTTCAACTTTGTGGTTTTGATGGAATTATAAAATCCCTGGATCTATCCTGTCCTCTCTTCTTTATCCTTTTCTCCTTTCTTTTTCACAGTGGTTATCATTCTTACAAAGAAATTTGAGCAAACCTTCCCTCCCTTTTTTTGTGGACACTGCAGTAGAGTTATTTCCTATCATTCTTAACAGTTGAAATTCCTGGAAACCCCTTAAAATTTGAACTTCTAGCTGGAGAGACTAAAGTTCATGTCTGTCTCATCTGATGAACTGATGAGGTGCTCCCTTCATGATATGTTGTATGTCATATTTGGTGTGCCTAATAAAATTTGCATATGCTGTTAGTGGTAGATCTTCTTAGAGCATTTGATGAGAAAGAATCATCATAGAATCTCTGTTTACCATTTAAGTGAATAATTTTGGATATGCTGCAAGTTGTGCTACAATGAATCTGGTTTGATGTTACCCCTTTGATTAGCAGGAGAAGATTCTGGTTCTGACAGTTATCACCCTATGGAGATCTCAAAGTCCATGCCTAAAATGAAAGTGAGGAAAGATCTAAAGGAAATTGGTGATGTTGAATGCCATGGACATATATCACGCAATAATGCTGAAAAGTAAGCTTGTGAATTGATTCTCGATTCCTATGGATAAGTTCACAAAATTTTGATAGATGCTTGTTCAACTTCAAAATTGACGAGAATTATATTATAACTAACTGCAGTGTTATTATAAATTATGTTACAGAGCTATTGAAGATCTTAGGTGCTCATCCAGTGTTGATTCAGATGTATTCTGCTGTGTTTGTGGAAGTTCAAACAAAGACGAATTTAATTGCCTATTGGAGTGTAGTCAATGTTCAATCAGGGTACTTTACTATCTCAAGTTTGCCCCTCATCTGTTAATTATAATTATCTGATTCTGTTTTCATGATACACAGGTGCATCAAGCTTGCTATGGTGTTTCAAAAGTCCCGAAGGGTTACTGGTATTGCAGACCATGCAGAACAAGTTCTAAAGATGTAGTAAGAAATTTGACTCTTTAACATTTGAGGCTTTTACACTCCAGTTTCAACCCATGGATTGGTTGCTTATCTTTCTTCTTTGAGTTTTAATGTTGTATTTTTTATGTGCATAATTTTATGACATTCTTTTGTTCCATGTTTCTCATGGTTATAATTGTCATTGTCACTGTTTATTATCATTTAGGTATGTGTTCTCTGTGGATATGGTGGTGGTGCCATGACTCGGGCATTACAAAGTCATGCATTTGTAAAAGGCCTTTTAAAAGCTTGGAAGACTGAAGCAGAGTGTCAGCCTAAGGGCAGAAGTTCTGCTGAAACTATGGTGGATGATCAGAGTCTAGTTGTTGGTAATGAGTTATGTAACTTGCAATGTAAAGATCTTGGGCTATCAAGAACTGCTTTGTGGGAAAAGGACGTGCAGAATGGTTTAAACGTTATTGAAAATTCCTCTTGCTCTGTTAGCAAGCTAAATGTATACAATAGTGTAACATCAGGAATACTTGATCCTTCTGTAAAACAGTGGGTTCATATGGTCTGTGGGCTCTGGACTCCTGGAACACGATGCCCAAATGTTAACACTATGAGTGCTTTTGATGTATCTGGTGTTTCACGAGCAAGAGAAAATGTGGTAAGTTTAATGATTAAGCAAATATGGAATACCCTGAACAGTGCCCACACTTGCAAATTTGACATGTAATTTTGGTCATGCGTGTTCCATGGAAGTTTAGTTTCTTGTTTTCTGGATGTTATGTCACTGATGCTAAAACAAATATTCTAAATAGATTTTTCCTCTCCTATTGTATATTTGCCTTTTCTTTGTCTGCTGAAAAAACAAAAGCAAAAAGAGGTTCTTGCATGCTTTTTTAGTATAAATATGATTTCACTTTAGGAGGTTGATTGTATTTTTGGATAAATTTCTCCTTGAAGCGACCATAAAGTTTATTTCTTCCAGGTTTGCTCTATATGTAACCAATCGGGTGGCTCATGCATACTGTGCAGGGTTGTGGATTGTTCAGTTCAGTTTCATCCTTGGTGTGCTCACCAAAAGGTTTGTACTCGAGAACCTTAATTTAATTGCATTAGTGTTATTTTATATGGGCAATTAGTTTTTATCTTAGGTTTAAATTGTTCCCTTCTATATTGTAGGCTGTGAATGGAATCACAACCTTATATTTTCAAAATGTCTTGAATGTTGTAATTTGGTGTGCTTATAAGTAATAACGCATCTCATAGGGCTTTTCCTAACGCTGTTTCTATTTGTTTTCTCAATTAAATGTATAAGGCATCACATATATGGTTTTGCTCATTGTCAGATAGCTCTGTTGGGTTTTCCTAATTACTTCGTTATATTACCTACAGGGTCTATTACAAAGTGAGGTTGAGGGGCTTGATAATGAAAATGTTGGTTTCTACGGAAGATGTATGCTTCATGCCTTAAACCCCACATGTGAGTCCGGTAGTGATCCCACAGATGCTGAACTGAGCCTTTCTAAGACAGGGGAATCAACCTGTGCTCGAACTGAGGTACTTTTTCCATTTTCTTTGTGGGAGTGGATTCATGGAGATATCACAGCAGCGAGACACTCATTTTTATGATCTAATGAAAACTCTGGTAGGGTTTTAAAGGCCGCAAACAAGATGGCTTTTTGCACAACACCCATGATCGGTCAAGAAAGAGTGGATGCATTGTTTGTCAAGAGCAGTTAAACGCTTGGATTCACATTAATGGGCAGAAGCCATACATGCAGGGGCTTACTGAGCTGCCAAAGACAGATATTGAGCATGATTGCCGGGTACGTTATTAAGTTGCTTATTCAACAGTTGCCTCAATTGGGATTCAGTTTGTGCTACCCTACTGGGTTCTTCTAATTATAACTCCTCTTTTTCCAATGCCCGCTGCATCTATGCCTACTGTTTTTTTTTCATATGGTAGATAATTATACCATAATTAGTCCTTGTAACTAGAGTTGTAACTTTTAAGCCTAACCGTTTTGTCTTTCCCATTACATGCAGAAAGAATATGCTCGTTACAAAGAAGCTAAAGGTTGGAAGCATTTGGTCGTTTATAAGTCTGGCATACATGCACTTGGTCTTTACACATCAAGATTCATTTCCCGTGGTGAAATGGTTCGTTCTCCTCATCTATCAAGTAAACCTAGTTTTCTTCATAATCGCAAAAATATGTCATCAGTCATGGTGTTTTTAGGTGGTTGAGTACGTCGGTGAG